ACACACACACACACACACACACCTTTTCCCTACACCATCCATGACAGCCAATAGTGGCTAAATATTAAAAACTATTACATAATGATTACCATTCAAATGTCCAAAAATATATTTTGTGCTGAAATAAAATGTGTGTCAGAGGAAAAATAACTTCAGCAGCTGTTTCTATTATAAAGAAAGAAAAAAATGTGGAGAAAAAAAGCCCTCCAAGCACCTCTGCGTCACCTCACCTTAATTAATTTGAGGTAAAAACTAGCTAGTTTAACTCAGTGAGCACCGTTTGTGCAACAGTTATTGGCAGCAACTTAAACTCTGTCTACAGCTTAAGGCAAAGGAAAGGTGATATATTATCGTTTATCATCGATTACTTCAATTTATTCGATTAATTCTGGGTATTTAAATGCTGCTTACCTTGTGAAGGGCGCCACATGAGACATGCATCAAAGATCCTGTATATGAGTCAAGATGAAGATCTCCGTGGTGCAGGAAGTTGGTTCGGTTGGAAGAATGTTCAGTTTATCTAACGCTCTGATATTCGTATCAGAACCTTTGTTTTTTCTCTATAAAGAGCACAATCCATTTGGAAACTTTGAAAAAATAATTTCATACTAACAAATCCTACATGCAACGTTATCACAAGTTTATTGTTAAACTTCTTTTTGTTGGAAATTGTTAGCTAGCTACTTAGCCTTTAGAAGAGTGTATCGACCAATGAGGTGTATTGTTACTGAATTCAGAACCAACCAGAAAGTTGTAGGTTCCAAAGTGNCAATTAATTAATTGATATACATGCTTCTCCAGGTCACACAGAGGAAACATGTCAAATAAGAGAATTTATAATCAATAATGACAGTTTAAAGTTAATCTGAAGTATAAAAGGCTCGTTACGCCTCTGAATTGGTGAAACCAAATTACTTTTGCCAAAGTTTTCTGAAACCAGTCACAGAAATTGTGACATTTCTAAACTTTTACCCAAATTGATTTATAAAATTGTATTTTACTTAAGCACCCTACACAACAGAGACATTTAGTTGTTTTTAAATGGAAATATAAATGTGTATTAACCTTTTGGATGGTTGAAGTGGATGTCCCACTCATTTCTTGCTCCTCTGAAGATGGAGTTGGGACCTTTACACCTGGTTTCTACAACAAAACACACAAATAATGTTAAATTAACTCTGTCATAAACTATTCATCTTCCTAGTTTAACAAGGGTCAAGGCTTATTACATTCAACCTTCTAGAAAGACTTAACAGGGCAAAGTATCTCGGTCTGTACAATATGAGGACATTCTGACACACACACACACACACACACACACACACACTACCATTTATTCAGACCATATGAGGACATGACGAACTAGCACCTATTCAGTCTATCTTCCAGACATGTAACATCTTCTTTTACTCCCAAATAAATGTCTGATCCCTGCTTTAATGTAAATAGATCAATTTTCCTA